GGCATCACAAGAAAGAAAAGTGATTGACTGTGCCTACAGGAAGGGCCGAAATTATGGTAACCAAGATATATCGTTGAAAACGAAGATCAGTCTAATTAAACAAACAATCTGAAAAAGGTGTTAGCCATTCGTATCACAAAGCAAAACTACGTTGACATTAAAATCTATCTTCTGTTGCGTTCATAGGGCCTTCAGATAATTGAGGGCTCTCTTCCAGGGAGAATTTCGATGAAAAGAGGGACACTGTCATTTCTCATACTGCGTCCAAAAAAAGTAGAGGAGAATAAAGAAATTCGAAGAAAAGTGGGTTTCACTACTGCACTCAGAATCTCAGTGGCATATTTGGTGATTACCACAGAAATCTATTTCTCTTCTGCTTTTTGATGCTCTTGGTGCTGCCTTATGATACCTTGTGAGAGTGCAGTTCTGATAGATCCATCAAAGAGAACAAGAGATGTAGAACGGTGAAATGATGATCAATCCCATTACTAGGTTCGCCTCTGCATCGCTACTTTTCGGCCACATGAGTTTAATGTCGCAGTTTTGCAAGATGTAAAAAGTGGATCTACATGGTTGTCGATAATTGGCAAAAAAACCTTATAGAGTAAGAAGGAAAGAAGTAAGTTACAGAAAATTTGAAATTCTGGGATGTTTAAAACTGAGCATCGCGTGAAGAAAGTCTCCGCTACAAGTGGAGGTACTTTATGTTATGGAAAGGATGCACAATGATGATATGTGTAAAACCTTCAGCTAACTAATAGCAGCTGTGTAATGACACTATCCAGTGCGAAGAACAAACGTCACTGGAAAATAATATCCAGAAGAAAGAATCTAACAAGTGCACAAGATATACCTTTTTCTTCAGTTCGGGGAATTGTGAAACATAGCTTGAAACCGCTTGTGGGAGGTCTTCACACAACACCTTCTCCATCTCGTTAGACTGGATTTCGAGATTCTGCAAGTTTCATGTATGTTGATCTAGCCGATAACAGCAAATTTACCGAAAGACTTACATCTAGAAGAGCTGTGAATTGCTCTCGATCTGGCCACTCTGCTTCATAAGATTCCCTGATAGTGTCGTGAAGGGCCTTCTCGGCTTGACAAAGCACTTTCATGGCAGTGGAATATGCCTGGAAATTGTGAAATTGACAGATATATCTCCATAATTCCGAGGACTTTTTATCAACAGTGGCGCACATGACAAATTTATTTACTAAATCGCACCACACTGAAGCTTCCCGTCCTCCCTTTTGCGAACATGAACTGTGGTAACGCTTTTTATCTTTCCCAGCGACTGCGAACTCATGAATTGTGGTGACGCTTATCTCTCATAGTGATTGCGAATTCATAAATTGCGGTAACGCTTCTTATCTCTCCCAGTGCATGTTTACCAGTTCCGGGCTCTCCCGCTTATTGAATAATTCGTTTTTGCACCCTACCTTAGTCGAACTCAGCGCTTGTATAAATAATTGTTTTGCACCCTACCTTTATCTCCCGCACTTCTGTTTTTCTTATCTTGTGCATCAATGCCAATTTGGGTCCCACGGGTGTGGCTTACTAAACGGAAAGCGACTTTTCCGCGTTTCCCACACAAAAATTTTTCGCCGCGGGACGCTCGGGTCCACAGAAGTTCGCTGCGGGAACCTCGCGTCCGACTGGGGTTAGAGAGGCGACTGAGGTCCCGCAGCCGAAAAATGTTTCGCGCGGGGTCCCAGGAGACACCATTACCACCATGACTGTAGACACCATTCTACAAGCGAAGAACATGTGCTTGTAAACATCTGGAAAGTTGTCGAGATCCCCAAAATTCATGCTTTTCACGACATAGCAAAACAATGAGTGTCGGAATACTGGTTCGATTATTAACCGTCGTAGAACCTTTCGAGGCGCGGGGAAAATTGAAGACATTTTGTTTGTGTTTGTTTGTTTGTTACCATGACAAGGCCATGTGTAATGCCAGATGGCGAAGAAATAAAAGATAAAACGTACATAAACGTATTTACTAACACGTATATGAATTAAACAATAGTCATCTCAAACGTGGACCTGGGAAGAGAGAATGTGATTTACCATAACGATAGATTCATAGAAACTCGTACATAATCTCAACAATTTGCTAGCAGTGATAGAAATTTTACTGTTGCTTTCACTTACTTTAACGTCCTTGTAAAGTCGCTCACAGGATTTGCTTTGCTTGAAGAGGTTCGCGGCATGACTGTCAAACGTTTCGTCTTGTGTGGCCTTGGCTTTCCCAATACCTTCGAGTAGCTGCAAGTACAATTTAAGCACAATGTATGAATTTATATTCAATTTTCCCCCAGATAGGTCTCAGATTTAACTTTAGAGCAACAACCCCAGATGAGACCGTGCAATCTATTCCGCTGGCTGGATAGAGTAGCCCACGAGTATCACAGATGTGCCATTGTCGGCTCGAAAGTGCGCAACAATGGCGCTAGGGCCTTACAAAGTGATCTGATGGCGACTAATGTGAACTTACGGACGAGATACCTCGCGCTCGCCCTCACGCAACGTGGATTACGACGTAGCGGATAAGATAGCCGATAGGTAGATAGATATGGTAGCCTCATCGCATTGATGCGGTTGCGTCCCAAAAACTCGTCTAGACAAGTCCTTTCCACGCCACCATTATCAGTCGCTGTACCCCATAGGTTCGACTGTGGTTGTTACTGGTTAGAAGCTTAAACTTAATTCTAGCTATTTATGCTGAAACATGAGCACATGAAGGCCATAGAGTGTTGCGATTTGTGAAGTTGACATTTTTTTCGGCAAAACTGTTGTCAGATAGACAACGTAACCATATAATTAAGAAAACTGTAACAAGTGATCCCTATTCGGACTGCTCAAGAGCTGTACTCGTGTGCTCGCTCCATACTCACTGCGACCTCACCCCTTTGCACTAATGAGTATCCTCTTATATATAAAGCAGCAGTTTGTCTGTTTGTAACCAGGGGCTCGCACGCTACGTAGACCCAAGAAAACAGTTAAGGCATGGTCCCGGATGGGTAGGAAGCTGCCCCTTGGGCGTGTAGGGTGAAGGTAGGGCTTGGTTAGAAAGGGTATGGTAGTGGGCGGAGCCCGGTCAGGTGGGCGGGGCTTGCGCTGGAATCTCCTTAGAAAACATAGGTTTTTGTGCAGAGGCCTCGAATTGCTCGGGTCACAGTTATTGATTGGGTAGTGTCACAGGAGTTAGATTGATATC